GGGTTGGAGGCAGCCCCCTCAGCCCCCCCTCCTCCCCGGGGCACCGATGGTGCGGTGGGCGCCCTCGGCCTGGGGTGCCGTGCGGGGCGCTGGGGGCTTGGGCCCAAGTGCCGTCCCCCGGGAGGCGGGCGGGGTCACCGGGGCGGGCCATGGGGAGCCAGCCCAGGCAGCAAATGCGTAACGTCCTGCCTTTGTCCTAGGCGGTGGGACTGGCTTCGTGGGGAGAGCCCTGACCCAGCTGCTGCAGAGCCGTGGGCATGAAGTGACCCATGTCTCTCGACACGGGGGCAAGGATCGGATCAGCTGGGTACGAGATGAGAGCGGTCGCAGAAGGGAGAGCATGCAGAGCTGCGGAACAAGCCTGCTTGCTCTGGCCTGCCAAGGCAGGCAGGGAGTCTGTGGTGGGGAATCTGGTTCCTGTGGATGCACCCTTGGGCTCCTGGGAGCTCCATGGGTCATAGTCGTTAGGATAGGTATTGCTGTAGCTCCAAGGAGCAAAACCTTCTCTGTTTGTGCTTGTGCTACAGGCAGTGTCCTGAAGGAACTGGCTGGAGTTCTTAGGAGCTCAACCTGCTTGGTTGTTGGGAAAGCTTGAGCAGAGGGGAGGGTGGGTGTGTGACGTCCCTGTTACCTCTGTTTAGGAAGAGTTGTCCCACTCTGGACTGCCTCCATGCGATGCCGTGGTGAACTTGGCTGGTGAAAATGTCCTCAACCCCTTCCGCAGGTAACCTGGTCTTCTATAGTACTGTTGGGACAAGGCAAAGACAAAGACAAGACAGCCCAGTGTTATCAGAGGATGTGGAAGGCATCTGGAGAGGAAACAGGGTGTCCAGGAAGCACTTGGCTTGCTGAACTGTTGACACCTGGGTCCTCAAGTGTCCAAAACATTTCTGTGGGCCCGTTAAGTTCTGGGAGATCTTTGGAAGACAGGTTCCCTTCTGGACTGACAGTTGGAGGCCAGGGAAAGTAGTTCCACATTTCCAAAGTGACACTGAATGCCTACATTTCCATAATGCAAAATCAGATCCAAAGTTTGACTTCTGTGAGGGTGTTTTTAGAAATGCCTCCACCAGCTCCTCTGCTGTCTTTGTCCTAAGGCATGGCAAAACCCACAGCCTTTTGTGGGAAGTGGAGAGCCACCATCTCCCAAAGTCCCCGATGCATTCAGGTAGTAAGATCCCATGTCCTCCCCTGCTCTGCGTTGAGGGGTGACTCTCCTGGGCTTGTGAGTGGGTGTCTGCTGGGGCTTCCCTGGGTGCTGTTGTTTCCTCGGATGTCCTTGCAGGGAGTATAATCAGTGGCATTCACTTTCTCAGATGGGGTGATGCCTTCTGCAGGGAAGTCATCAGCAGCCGGGTTGAGACCACCAAGACCTTGGCCAAAGCCATTGCTGATGCCGAACAGCCACCCCGTGCTTGGGTCCTCGTCACTGGTGTAGGTATGGGTTGGGCCTGGCCAAGGCATGACTCACGATGACCTGGGGACGTATTCCTCCAGACAGAAACACGCTTCTGGGGAGGACGTGTCTTGCCCTGAAATGCCAGCTTTATTGCCATCAAGGTCACTGTGTTCAGGCAAGCCTTGATGAGATTTTTGGTAGTGATGGAGAGGAATTTGGACCCCTGTGGTTTCTCTTGGTGTCATCAGGACAAGACCTTATTTCTGTTTTCCGGTGAAAGCCTTTAGGTACCTTGTAGAACCAGTTTGTTTAAGCAGGGCCTCAGCTGAATCCCCCCACTTATCTCTAACTTTGCGTTTTGGCTTGCTACAGTCTAAAGCTGCTGCAGTTTCCCAATTTTAGAGCAAGTGCTGTTCTGTGCAGCCAGCTCAGTGTGTTCCTTGCTGGTATATTTGGTT